AAAATAAATTAGTTCTTAGGAAAATTCATTTGTCTGTTAGCAAATTTTYTTATGAACTACTTAAGAGGTTTTAGGAACATTTAAATGAATCTGCTGTGGCGGCCATCTTGAATGTAGCTGACGCCACAACACCTGTAGATGTTCGTCCTCTAATAGTTCCTGTGATTCGCTAACAAACAAGTTTAACTGATGTTTCCTGTGGGTTTTTTTTTTTCCTCATTTTTAATATTTACGTGTTAAAAACAAGCAGGAGCAACACGAGTTTAGTTTTATACAAACATCTTTATGAAACTGGAAATATTTTTTCTCATATCTGTTTAAAGTGTCCATGAATTAAAAAAAATTTAAGTTTATTTTTTTGTAAATGTCTGCTAACTTCCCAGTGTGTTTGTTTACGTATGARAAACCTGCATAGCTTCTACTTTTTCATCAGATTCTTCTTTGTTTACGTTGAGCGCAGACCCTCGTTTAAAGATTTACGTATAAATATACAGTGGTGGGCACAGCTAACCAAAACGTTAGCTTCACTAATCTGCTTRACAAGAATTGTWGCTCAGATAATGCTAATCCRCTAAACACGTTACAAAATTAGCGGAAGCTAACGCTAAACTTACAGATGGTGATGTTCGTTTTCTATTGGTTTAATTTGAAGGTGGGCGGGATCTGTGGCAAATCAGCCAATCCAAACCAGACTTATAGCTCTTAACTGGTGATGCTTCCAGTTTACYTCTTTCARAATAAAAGCATTTTTATRAAAACTTTTTGAAGTTACTCAAATATCAAAACTTTCTTTATCATATTTTATACCTTGTCAGTTTTTGTATTCAATTATTGTTAAAAGTTATTTCACTTCTTTATGATGCTCTCAATTTGAAGTTTAGCTGCTAAAGATGCTACATGCTAACACACGGTGTCTGACACATCCTGCTGATAGTTTTTGTTTAGTTTGGGWCAAACTGCACAAAAATAGATGTTTTATACTTGAGAAATGTTTAGCGGACCTTATTTAGCAGAAGCTAATCGGTCCACTAACCGTTCCTAAAGTTAGCTTTTTGCTAACTTAAGAATCGGTCCACTAACCGTTTCTAAAGTTAGCAAAAAGCTAACTTTAGAAACAGTCCACTAACCGTTTCTAAAGTTAGCTTTTTGCTAAATTTAGAAATGGTCCACTAACCGTTTCTAAAGTTAGCAAAAAGCTAATTTGCAACGAGTTTAGTTTTATACAAACATCTTTATTAGCTTCTGCTAATCGGTCCACTAACTGTTTCTAAAGTTAGCAAAAAGCTAATTTGCTAAATGAGAAGCTAATTACGTTGTTAGCGAATTAGCAGTGCCCATCGCTGTAAAAACATCTGGAAAACTCTTAAAGTTCAGGATGAGTTTTACGATAAGTTTCTGTTTAAACAGGTTCTCAGGAGAGCAGGAAGGGCTTAAGAGGAAGTGAATTTTGCAAACTGCGTATTGACTAATAAACTCTGTTCATCTTATTAAACAGGAGKATTTGCATTTTTAAAAACACAACCATTAGTCAATGGGTTGTTGCAGTTTTGTTTCCTGATTACGCCACAACTGTTTGATTTCACCTTTGACCCTAAAAGGTTTTAACTTCCATTAGTTTGTTTTYCCAAACGTCCCAGAAGAGAAGAGACTCGTTACTTTTCTGTTACAGATGAACCAGCACAGAGGACAGTCCTCTGAGCGAGCGCTAACCGGTTCACACGGACGATCAGACGAGCGATAGCATGCCTGAGAAAAGGCACTTCCTCTTTCAGCGGTCCTTATTTTCACTCACGTCGACGGCTGCCAAAACATTTAAGATCTGCCGTTTCAGCAGAAGCATCTTCGGCTCGCATGCAGAGAGAGGCTTTCAAGTCCAGAGACAAAAAAAAAGAAAAATGTGTGTGTGATCGACTTTATATCAGATTACACGCTCGCTGCCTGGGAGAAAATGAATCTGAAGTTTAGATAAAAATCAGTTTGACAGACTTTTATTTTCAGAGTTCAGCMGAATATTTGTCTTGTTTGAAGCTCGATGTCGAGCGCTGCTGTGAAAGCATCGTGTGTCTGTTAGTAAAATACCTCAGGATATCAGGTTATCAGTAAGTGTTTGCTAAATCAACTTGATTCAAGCTATTTAATCCCAAAAAATAGCAGAAAATCTGTTTGTTTTTTAACATATTGAGGTAAAATGTCAGGTAGCTGGAGGTCATCTTAAAACTGCAAGGTGTGCTTCAAGACAGAGGAATTAGTTGCTGTTAAGTAGTTTTTGTTTCTTTGATGTTTTTTATGAGAGTATAACATTATAACATGATATAAAACTCAAAAAAGTTGATTTTACTGTACATGATATTGCCCCTTTAAATGTTGCCACATTTGTAAGGAACATGCATTTGAGTGATGAACAGTTGAGCTGAGTGTGAAAAATTTGCCAAATCTTCGTCGCCAAACAAGCTTATTTTGCTGTTCTCTTCGTTTGAGGCTCGCCAAAACTGGACTTCACCTGATCTGAGGAGTTCCTGTAAAACCCTAGAGACGGTCGTGAGTTGAAATCCCAACGACTTGTCTAAAAATCCCTCAGATCCACTTTATTCCCGGCCTGCTCTGATRCTTGGTTTGAACTTCARCACCGTGTCTAGATGTCTAAATGAACCRAGGTGCTGCCAGGTGATTAGCTATTTGGCTAACGTGCAAATGTACGGTAGCCCTGGTAAAGAACCACACCAGTCCTGGTCCTCGAGGGCCACCCGAGGCCCCTGCAGCAAAGSTCTAGATAAAAGTAGTGAAAGCCTAGCTTGAAGCTAAAATAGCTAATAACTAACTAGAAGTTAAACATGATAAATTAGCAAATGGCTATGCTAAAGTTAAAAGTAACGAAAGGCTTGCTGAAAGATTAAAATGACCGAAAATTACTTAAAAGTAGCAATATACCTGACTTAAAGTCAAAAGTTGGAAAAACTACTTTGAAGTTAAAAGTAACAAAAGRCTATCTTAAAGCTAAAAASAGCAAAAGGCTACCTAGAATGCTAAATTAGCAAATGGCTAACCTAAAGTTAAAAATAACTAAAAATTTGCGTAAAACTAAACATAGCGAAAGCTAGTTTGAAGCTAAAAACAGCAAAAAAAAACTACGTAGAAGAAAAAAGTAGCAAAAGGTTTGCTAAGTGCTAAAATTGCAAAAGACTAGCTTAAAAAAGCTAAACTTTACAAAGATTAGCTAAAAGATAAGAAACTTATTGCTTTAGCTTTTATCTAGCCTTTTGCTCATTTTAAATAGTTATTTGCTAATGTAGCTTTCAGTTAAACYTTAGCTCCTMGGTAGTCTTTTGCTATTTTTAATTTTAATCCAGCCATATTGCTACTTTTAACTARCCTAGCTAGAAGCTAAAAGGAAGTTCAGACAAGTGTCCTGAAGCAGAAAATGATGAAATCTGAAAGTCAGTTGATTTCCTGAGCGAGCTGAAAGTTTTGATGTAATAAAAAAATAACAAGGTTTTCAGTAAAACCAGTAAAAGTTGGATTACAAGGACTGCAGACCAGTCCTGGTCCTTGAGGGCCACCCGAGGCCCCTGCAGAACCTGAAGACCTGCTGAAGAGAAGCGAAACAAATAAAACACCCAGGACGATCACACGACTGATCCATGTTGGTAAAAACGTCCAAAACGTGTTCCACTTCGGCTCTTTTTTCTTTCTAGATGGYAGCTCCACGTGTCCCACAGCCGCTTTCAGAATGAAGCTCATTTGATCGTTCCCCGTCCAGTTTCACTTCTCCAAACGTTTTTACCTTCATCTGTGAGAAACCGAGGCCGTTAGCTTCAGAGGAGAATAAAAACCATCGACGCCACCTCAAGTKTGGACCTCATGACCGCAAAAACAGCAACAAAAACATGGATTTTTTTGGGGCTAAAACAACATTAACTCATGTTTTTCTTGCTCTACAACAGCAACACTAAAAGTTACATTTCAAGTCAAGACATTTCAATGAAAACACTTTAACCTTTTAATAAAGCTGACTTTTTATATAATAAAGCTGAGTAATCAAGTACAGTTCCTCTCCGTTCACAATCTGACCACCAGCAAAGTTTCTTCCTCAAACCGGTCTTTTTTTAAACTGAGCTCTGTCTCACAGGGACATTTTGTTCGGTTTTTATTCGAGGCTTYATCTCTGCGCGGCCACGAGAAAGACCTCAGCAGACGTCTTCATCTTCGTTTCTCTCGCAGCTAATTTCCTTATGGAAACTGAAAACCTACGTTTTGCAGTAGTTTTTGCTGCTCCTCGCGGCGTCAATCACAAAAAAATAAGACAGTCCTTTAATTAAAAACACATTTTGGCTTTTTATTGAGTTCACCGTTTTTTTTACCGTATTTATTTTAGTTTTTGTTTAAAATAAAGTCACAGTTGTAATCAAGCAGCATTTTCTAATATAAAAAAACAAAAACAGATTTTGTTAGCTTGAGGCTTTGCCGAGGCTTCGCTCTGGTTTCTCTTTTTAACGTTCCAACCACCATGACCCGGAGCACCACCACAGCGGTATTTTGGTTACTCTCTGGTTTGGCTTCGACACTTTTTAACAGAGCTGAACCTTTCTGCCAGCCTCCCCACTGCTGAACGGCTCGAGCAAAAAAAAACGCTCCTTTGTTTTTTCATTTGCACTCGCCGATGTCGTTTTACGCTGATGATTATCTGTTATTATTCACAGGAAGTTATCTGCTTTGACGTCGTTTCTGCAGCAAAATAAATTCAGCCGAGGTCCACACCTTCATGACTTCTTCATGTGCTGGAATTTTACGTCTGTGATGCATTTATTTTTTTTTTTGTGTCTCTGATGGGAAGGAAACCGCAAACCCCTCCTCTCCGAGATACAGAACTGAGCGGTTGCTGCAAAACAGGACATTTCATGTTTCCTCTGCCGCATATAGCAACAGCTTGCATCACACTACTTCTGCACACACACAMACACACACACACACACACACACACACACACAAACCGAGTCCCACATGAACGCAGCCACAGTTTTGCATGGTGGTATTAGAATTAGGGCCTAGATTGGAACCGCAGCTCGTAAAGAAAGACCGTAAAACTGCAAGCAGCTGAACGACAGCTGAAGTTTGTTAATGAMGCTAACTAAAATGCATAGAACAGCTGCTACAAGAAGCTAAAGGGTAAAAGTAGCAAATTGCTACCTAAAAGATAAAAGCAGAAAACTTCAAACTAAAAACAACAAAAGTTAAAGTAGTGAACTAGAAGCTATAAGTAACRGTAGGTTGACTGAAAGTAGCAAAAATTTTGGCTTAAAGCTAAAAGTAGCARAAGKTTAGATAAAAGCATAAGTAGCAAAGAGATGCTAACTAACTAAAAAGCTAAAAATAACAAAACTATCAACAACTGAAACAACAAAAGGCTACCTAAAAGTTAAATATAGCAAAAGCTAAAAGTAGCGAAAGGCTAGATTGAAGCTAAAAGTAGCAAAAGACAACCTAGAAGCCAAACATAGTAAACAGTTTGCTAAAAGCTAATCTTAAATCTGTCTCAAGTTTAAAAGCAGCAAAGGGCTTGCTAAAAGATTTAAATGATTAAAACTATCTAAAAGAAAGAAGCTAAAAAAAAGAAATACAACTTAAAGCCAAAAGTTGAAAAATGTCAAAAGTGACAAAAGGTGTGCCTAAAGCTAAACATAGCAAAAGGCTAGAAGAYAGAATTAGCAAAAGGTTTGCTAAGTGCTAAAAATTTGTACAAGACTAGCTTAAAGCTAAAAGTAGCATGAGACTAGCTAAAATTAAAATCAGCAAAATGTTAGAAAAATTTACAAAAGATTAGCTATTTTAGCTTTTATCTAGCATGTTGCYCATTTKAGCTAGTTRTTTGCTAATTTAGCTTTCAGTTMAACTTTRGCTCCTWGGTAGTGTTTTRCTTTTAATTTTATTCCAGCCTTATTGCTACTTTTAACTAGCCTTTTGTAGCAAAATGCTACCTAGAAGCTAAAAAGAACTAATGCTTAAAGTTCAGACAAGTATCCTGAAACAAAAAATGATGAAAACTAAGTTGATCTCCTGAACAAGTTCAAAGTTTTGATATACTATTATCTAAAATAACAAAGTTTGCAGTAAAACCAGTAAAAGTCAGATTTAAAAATTCAGTTGAGTTTATTTTCTAATCCATTCGGCTACATTTCTCAACAACGTAATGAGCTAAACTTTGCTTGGGATTTATAAAGTATCAGTATGAAGTGGGCTTTAAATATTTCTTTTTGATTGATTTTTGCAGCATATTGGGTTTGAAGGTGAGGAAAATAACAATAGAGACTCCAACACAGAACAAACAGACCGGTACAATGAGGAGAACGTACCACACAATGGATTCTCCTTCGAAACACACAAACAAATGTGAGTCTGCCATTCTGTGACTCATACGCAGGAGGTCCTTGCATCGGATCTCAGTCCACCCGACCATATTAATCCTGTTTGTTGTTTCAAATGTCCGGAACCATTCGGTTTGGCAGCAGTTGAACCGATTTCCTGTGAGAAAAACAGTCTGAAGCTTCGAGGCTAACGTGTAGGCTTGACCACTGGGGATCGTAGACAGTTCGTTGTCCCTCAAATCCAGAACTTTCAAGTCCATATTTTGAATTGAGGAGGGAAAATGGGGAAGCGAGTTTCTGGAAAGGTTTAAAGACCTCAAACTTTGAAAAGGGGAGAAGTCGAGGTCTTGTATTTGAGTGTTTCCTAAACCCAGGTGTTGCAACGTCCGTCCTAAATTTTGTAACGAATCTTGGACGGCGAGCCCAGTGTTGTCGGACAGCTCCAGGTGCGTCAGTGCCAACCCGGTGAATGCATGGTCTGGGATAATTTTTAGGTTGCACCCTTTGAGGGAAAGTTGTCTGAGGGAGTTGATGTTGCTCCAATCTATGCAAGCTGAGAAGTCGTGCGTTCTTACTTCAGCTTGCTCCGAACGGCAAATGTTAATGTTGTTATAGCTGAGATCCACCGATCGGATCTTTGGCAACGAAGAAAATAATCCATACGGTAGTTCCTTCAGATTGTTCAGGCTCAGGTTGACGTAAGTCAAATTACCCAGATTAATGAGCGTATCATTGTCTGCAGAAATCTGGTTCAGGATGTTGTTGCTGACGTCCAGCTCGAGCAAGCTGTCAGAGAACCGCTCTGACGTCAGATTTAGGGTTTCCAAACAGTTCGTACCCATTTGAAGTCTTGACAGGGACAACATTTTCCTGATGAATCCACGAGGGAAATAATCCACCTGGTTTCCCCTCAGGTCCAAAATCTCCACTCTGGAAATGTCCCCGTGAAGATCGTCATCCCACAGCTGAGCCGTTACATTGTTCACGTATTTTTTCAGATTGTAGAACTCGATAGTCATGGACGCATTTGCGGACGTGATGTTGTCGACAAAGCGTTCGTAGAATCTCATGATGTTGTGGGACAGGTAAAGGTTCTGTACGTTACTCCGGCTGGGCAGGAAAGGGAAGAAGAAGAGCTGGTTGTTGGACAGATCGAGCGTTTCCAGCTGGAAGGTCTCATTGAGGTCTTGCCTGGAGATGAACCACTCGATGAAGTTGTGGCTGGCGTTCAGGACCACCAGCTGAGTCATGTGGAAGTCTACCAGGCATTGCAGGTAGTTGAACGCCAAGTTGAGCCGCCGAAGCTTTGGGTTGCCGTCGAAAGCGCTGTCGATTTCGAACATGATGTTCCGAGAGAGGTCCAGGTCTTTGAGCTGATGGAGGTCCCTGAACGACGTCTCATCCAGCCTCTTCAACAGGTTCCCAGAGAGATTGAGGTACTCCAAGGACGTCAAGTTCTGAAGGAGTACGGAAGCCATTTCTTCAGCCAAATTGTTCTTGGAAAGATCCAGAACTCTAAGACCAGGTAACATTCTTAATGCAAGGCTGCTTTCTTGGTAGCCGACGTTTAGGTTATTGTCCGCCAGGTTTAGGGTCTCTAACAGTGTAGAAGCTTGAAAAACATTTGATTCTAATTTCTCCAGACCGCTGCAAGCTAAGCTCAGGGTGTTTAGTGATTGGTAGCGTAGAAGAGAGTCTTCCTGTAGTGTTTTAATGTGATTGTAGTTCAGCTGAATCTCCTCTAAGTTGTCCGGCAGTTCATTCGGCACAGATGAGAGGTTGCAATCATTGCAGAGGGCCATTTGTTGTATCTGAAGAACATTAAAAAACACAACATAAGCTTTAAAGGGTGCACCAAGTCCACATCAGACTATTTAACCTGGTTTATTAAAAGGTTTGGTATGCAGGTTGGGTGATATACATTCCTTTAAATAACAATAATTTCAGTAACCTAAGTTTTCAATAACTTCTGTTCTGTTGTTAGGGTTTGTGCTCAGTTTCAAAATTCACATTTTGTTTCGTCAGTAGCTGAGAGGTGACTAAAATAGAGTTCTTCCGACCAGACATAAGTCTCAAGACATGCCGAAAGTCTCTGCCTGCCAGGCTGTTTCTGTTTATGATTAAAGTTTTTTTAATTTAAAGGGACACCTTACCAGATGACACGGGCCAGGCTGGCGATAACTTGAGACTGGCGTCAGGATTCTCCACACGGGCAACAAGCAGAGCAGGAGAGGAGTGAGCCCGTGGACCGGCATTTTATCATCCTCACTGTTCAAAACGTGACAAAACCACACATTTTAGCTTGAAAATGAATTTCTCTCTGATAGATGGCCAAACTTACTCAAGAAATCAAGGTAATAAACTGTACCTAACCAACTCTTTCAGCAAGGCTTTGGGTACTTTTAGCTTTTTGTTAGCCAAAAGTTAAAAGTAGTAAAAACACTATCACTTTGCTTCGTCTAGCTCAGGGGTCTGCAACCTGAGGCTCTGGGGCCACATGTGGCTCTTYGGTCCCTCTCTTTTAAAATGTGACCAAACATAATTGAGTAATTTTTATACTCACAACAGAAATCAATTTGTATGCAAATGTGTGATCAATGTGCTAATGCAAAAAGTAAAACATGCTAGCTCATGTTAGCCTGTTGTTTACTCAAATATTCCATTTTCTTCTATAATCTTTCTCTCAAATCCATCAGAGTTTAAAGAATTTGAAGACTACAAAATAAGAATAATTAGGAGAAAAAATGCTGGAATCGTTCAGTTGTCCTAGTTTTTATGAAATTCAGTATACAGTATTTTTCTTGTTTATTTGAACGTGGGCTTTCCATGTGTAAAAATAATAATAAATTTCACAATATATTTCTTAGTTATATTATAACACCTCCACTGGCCGTGAACATTCCCAAAAAGGCCTCGAAAAGGCCCACAGACCACCAGTTGATAATCCCAGTTGTACATTGTTTTGCAGCTCTGGACACATTTTTTTAGTGCATCAAGTAGCAGAAATGGTTCTTTTGATCATAAAGGTTGCAGACCCCTGCTCTAGCTGGTCATCTGTTAATTTAGGCTTTTAGCTACTGTCTTGCTATTTTGAGATTTTAGTTAAGCTAAGGCTACTTTTAGCAACTCTTTGCTACATATAACTAGCATTTGGCTTTTTATATTTAATGTAGCATTTTTTTTTACTTTTAGTTTTTATTTAGCCAAAAGTTAAAACAGTAAAAGTATATCCTTTTGCGAGCCTTTGGCAACTTTTAGTTATTGCTTAGCATTTTTACAACTTTTACCTAGATTTTTGCTTCTTGCTAGTTTTCAGCTTCTTTTAGCTTCTAGCTAGTGTTATGTTGTCAGTTTTAATAAAGTTGTCCAATTCAACAAACAAAAATCAGCTTGAACAACAAACGTCTTAGTAACTTCATGTAACTAAAGTACTTTTCTGTGTTTAACATTTTTCCTTGTAGAAAAAAACACATTCTTCGGCTCTGAATAAACAAAAATTACAGTTTCCCCAGTTTTTTATTTTTTATTCATCAGCCATAAACAGATTTGTAC